ATATAACAAGGATAAATTCACTTCATTCTAATTCACTTCGGCGCTCAACCGAATGAATACACATTTCTCCGGTTTTGAAATAACTTTGAATGTTAACATTTCAATTAATATTTAGGGGCCACTAAAATGTACTTTTTTAATTTTTCTTTTATTTCAAAGACCCTGGTTTTTCCTTCGGCGCTACAGTTCATGCCGTGACATCCATGGCATGTTGGGGCATGTTAAATATCATACCACGATCGTAGGCGACAGTGAATCTCCGTTACAGCGCTTCCTAATGCTCTTCCAGAGTTCTCCCACTGATTAGGCTTACACTCTCGGCCATCACTCTCGCTGTAGAAGCTGCTGACCGTCCAACAAGAAAATCAAGCTTCACTCAAACATGGCAAATACATGTAATGAGACCTGAAATGAATCCAAAAATGGAAATGAGTGATGCATCAAGAGGATTCAAAATCTTAGGGAAATCAGCTGAATATTTCTGAATGTTTTTCTGTTTCACGGTTTTTGGTTGATGAATTCGTCAATTATTGATGTTACGGGGATCAGGAAGTTTAGGCGGTACTAACTCACCCATTTATCCATCCATAAACCAGGGGCGTAGCCACAGGGATGGACATGGGGGAACGTCCCCCCCCCGCACCCACGCACATGTACACACACATACAAATTCCACGTGCTGCCCAGGGGGCCCCCCAATAACAAAAAAAGGTTAAATGGATACTGAATAGGGTTTAGTAACAAAAGCTTTCCCCCCCCAAAGCAATATCACTAAAAGCTGGTGCCCCAAAAGATACTTGTGCCCCCCACTAGTAAAATCCTAGTTACGCCACTACCATAAGCGCACCCATTTGGGTTTTAACTCATCTAAATATTGCGTCAGGGAAAAGCGAAAACATTTTACCAGAACTCTTTGTTCCGGTAAAATCCATATCTGGGAAAAATCAGATGAAATGCTCCTAGATTTTTTTCTGAAACTGTATGTTATGAGGTTGGTGCCGTCGTGTTTTTTCAAATTCAACGTTGGCTCGGTAGAACAATTTTTTGGTGACTTTTACGTCGTTTTCCTTTCATATTTTTTTCTGTTCTTTTCGTTATAGTACAACAAATCAATGGCCACCCGGACGCAGACGCTAAACATGGAGGGAATTTGTAAGTAAAGTTATCTCTTAGAATAAATATTTAGAAAGACATTCATACCCCTCTCGTACATAAATAAGGGAACAAACATTTGCTTGGCCGGACTTCTGCAACTATGTTTAAGACCACAGGGGCTTTGAAATCTGATGATTACCCAAACATATAGCAGGGGCCATTATACAAGCTTGATTGTTGTATTCGGATTCACGAATGAAGTAAATAAATAACTTTTGGTACAATCAACAAAAATCCTCCCAATTATTCGTATATATACACTTCATGGACTCGCAC